TAATTATCTCCCAAACAAACTCACCAAGATTAAACAAAGTATCTATTAGATAGCCTATATAATATCCATTATATCTATTATATAGTCTATATAGACTGCACGTCTGCCAAACTTTTAAAAGAGGGATGGTGAGAGAAGCATAGACCATATAAAAGCATAGACCATATACACCACACCAGCTAGGGGGAAAAAAAAGATCCATCAATATTGTTAATGCTAAACTAAAATGAACTTAGAACTTTGAAAAGGTTGGCTTGTAATTCCATATTTTGTTTTCCAGCAAGGAAAAGAAACCAAACAATATATAGGCACTGATGACCGAAACAATGGTGGAATTCTCATGTAATACAAAATCGGGATTTTTAACCTCAGATTTGTTAAAAAGCACACAAACAAAACATCACACTGGCCTGGTTTGCCAACACTTTAAGCCATGTTGTCCAAACATTGTAAAAAAACATAAATTAAGGCTTAATGCTATGTACAAACTGAGCTAATTTACTAATATTAATAACACTAATTTAGGCTTTTTAAAAACTACGGTTTGAAGAAGTTAGGAAAAAGGCAGAGTGAATCTTATAAACTAATGAGATAATCGGGACTTTTTATGTTAAAAAAAGTGAGCAGAGCACAGAAATAACCTTCAATTTGGGTTCAGATATAAGCTGAAGCCACGATTAAAACAAGACACAATTTATAATCTTAAGAAAGTAAGATTCTAAATTACGGTTTGTCATAAAAAGCCCATGATGTCTTTTTTGGGGGACAAATACATCACATTAAGAACATCACGTTAAGCTAAATACAAGCAAACCATATTATGGCTTAGAGCTTCATGCAACAAGCCCAGAGGTTGGAACTACTTATTACACTCAACTTGGATTACTGCTGAAAATATTTTCTTGTATCAAATGTGAGAGTCAGACCTCAGAAGTGTTTCCAGCTACCCTTGTTCACTTATCCTTTGTCTTGACATTATTATTCGTATTAGCTTCGTTTGCAGGATATGCTGGTGTGGGTTAAAATGGGATTGATAATCTGTAACTCAGGAGGTTGTGAGAAACAGGCCTCACCTTAAGTCACAATGTGGTTTGTTTGGATAAAAGCATGTTATGCAAATGCAGGAATTCGTCAGCTTGGGTTTAGCAAGATCGGTGGAACCAGCCACTTTTTCTCGCTTGTAGTTAATGTAGTTAATATTCCTGGTTGAATGTAAAAGTTGTTCCTTCAGTCTGATGGCATCCAGATATACTGGATCTACAACTGCAAATCTGCTGGACTGTGTCACATCTGAGAATAGCTAAGGCACTGAACATTAAGAATACTCAGTACACATGCCAAACTAGGCTTAGCGCAATCGGTAAACTCAAGCATTGGTTTGTAAACCATGACTTATGGCTCAGCACGAAGTGTGAACTTCTGTGGCATAATGAATCATTTATTTTTCAAATCCGATAACACACATTGTGCTATCTATAAGCTCACCTGAACTTGTAACATTCCACCAATACATTGATCACTGATTATATGTAATAGCCTGTCTCTAACCTGGGTACACAGACCTAGAAATCCCATCATACCTGCCAGGGATGAAGGAGGCTGTACCCCAACTCATTTGGAGGGTGCTAAGTTCTGGACAATCAAGGATTCTGCAGATTCATGTGTAAAGAAAGCCACAATGACTGAACGAGTGTTGTTCTTTCTTCACAGAAAGAAGAAGGAAGATTGGATGAACTGGACTGATGTAATCATTCATATCTGTTCTCTAAGACCACACATCATGTGACATATAGGTATCTCCTGTTCCAAAGAGGAGAGCTTACTAGATCTCAGCCTAGGTCAACTGTCCTTTCATAAATTCCATGCTATCATGCGCCCTTGTCCAAACAGCTTCCTTTGTTGCAGACTTCCCAATTTCTACCGCAAACTTAAATCCAGACAGACAGACAGACACAAAGAACTCATTTTGTATGATACTAGATATACAGATGGTATAAAAATGTCTACACGTTCAAGTTTAGTTGGATTTAACATGGAGTTAGAAAGACCATAAACATTTTTGTCAGAAAGCACCAGATTACAGGAATGTAACCTTACCCTCAAACTGGCCTAGAATGACTGTACTGTAAAATAAATAATGAAGACATTAACACACATACGCACACTTTCTTTGAGAAAATGGGTGAGCCACGTCATCAGTGGCCCAATCTCACAGTTTACTGGCTATCTAGTGATCCCTGCCATAGAGGTCACAACCTTTCCATTAATCCTTCACAAGCGCATCACATTCAAGCAAGGTGCCTTGCAAACATAACACCAAACAACAGTGTGAACAAGTAGATTTCGCAGTGTGGTATACTTCATAGTAACATAATTTCTATGCACTATATCCACTGTATATTTCTTTCAAATGTCATTGATATACGTTAACTCCCTGGCAATTCCCACACGGAATGCATCCTATTTAGTGCCAATTTGGAAAAAAATGGTTGAAAGAGACTTACTAATTTGAGCCCTAGTGGCGCGGGGATTAGAAATACGCTTCTTGTCCCTACTGGAAGTAGCACCTGGAAGACACCTGACCTCTTTCGAAACCTCTGTGTCCTTTCCTAAATTTATATCCCTTATAATTGAATCACCTACCAGAAGGTGGCTTCTCTTTTTGGATGCCTTTCTGTTCTTGCATGACTGATGTGTAATTCCTGATTCACACTTCTCCCTGTCGAAAACTAGTTCTTCATCTCGGACCACGATCCCCTGCTTATTTGAGTTATCATCACAAATACCTTTACCTGTCTCCTTAATGACCCTATTAAGGTCAGCAAGGGCTCTGTATCTGTTGTGCAGGGACACAGCAAAAGCTTTGCGTTTATGGTTCACAGCTCTCACCCTGCCAGATCCCCCAGTTGTCCACACTGCCCTTCTCCTGCAGGATCTTTGTGGTAGAGGGGGCTGATAGCGCGGAGGCTCAGTAGAGTAGTGGGACTGAACTGGACACCTAATTTCTGCCTGAAGAGCACAGATTACAGACCCTAGATAAATAAAATGCAATATGGCAGGCAAATTCTGCCCACAGCCTGGAGTTCGATCCTGACGGGCTCAAAGTGGATTCAGCCTTCCATCCTTCCGAGGTTAGTAAAACGAGGGCCCAAATAGTTGGGGGCAATGTGCAAATAATGCTTTCACATTGTAAACCATCCAGAGAGAGCTGCAAAGCACTATGGGGCGGTATATAAGCTTAAATGCTATTGTTATAACCACCTTATAGTCCAAACGGTTTTAGCAAAAGTTATTGAGCTGATGGAAAGGAGTCGGCCAGAGCTTCAACTATAAGAAATCAGATTTAAAACTAATGTGTTAGCATTTCACAGATCTATTCTTTTTATTTAAACGTAAAACAATGCCACTTCAGTGTATGTTTTCTATTAGTGTGTGTATGTGTATGCAGTATATGTTTCTGCATTGTATGCTTTCCTACTACTGCAACATTTTTTTTATTACTACCAACCTTTATAAATAGGTATTTAAGGAGCACAATGAAGCATAGACAAACATGCTCAAGATAAGGTCGTATGGCACAATAGGGTTGTTTTTTGTTTCTGATTCTTTTTTTTTTTAATCCTACAGTTCCAATCCAGAGCAGATCCCCAGAATAGAGAGACTGTCCATTCTCTGCTCTAGCCTATACACTTTATCATCCTGGACATTCTTGATCTAAGCTACAATATTGGTGATCCAGGATGGCTAGCATTGTTGTTGTCGCTTGTTACTATTTCAACTGGTACTCAGCTCCCACAAGATCAAGGCATCACAAAAAAAGGCAGCCAAACACTCAACCTACTTTGGCCCTGATTGCAATGTAAGCTGAGATCTGGTTAAAACCCCACAACTATAACCATTCTACCTTTGTGCTGTGCATACTCAGCGCTACCACATACTCAGCATATATATGAAGGGAAATTTTAGTTTGGAATTAGAGGTAGGTTTTTTTCCCCCAGCTTGTTAGTCAAATTCTTTTTAAAGGGCTGGGCTTTGGTGACTAAATCCACAAATGCATGCCAAGCAACCTAAGTGAAGCAAACTATGGAGACTGAACTGTGTTTTTTTTAGGCCATCCCAACCCAAGACTGCTATGCATTACTCATGAAGTGTCCTTTGTTCAAAAGTTATAGAGAAATCTGGAGGGTTTGTTTGAAATAGCGAGTGAAGGACCGGCGCCCCTAACATTTAAGCAAGATAATTTTCGTGGGAATGGGAAATTAGCAACGATTCACATTCTGGTATTAAGAGTTCAGGAAAAGGAAAATCACCAAGTGTCTCCCCGTTTGTTTTTCCTTTCTTTCACCTATCCACCCCTGACCTCCTCTGCAAATGGGAATGAAACACAGGCAGTCCTCGACTTACAACAGTTCATTTAGTGACCGTTCAAAGTCACAACGGCACTGAAAAAAGTGACTGGTGACCGTTTTTCACACTTAGCAGCATCTCCATGGGTCAGGTGGTCAAAATTCAGATGCTTGGCAACGGGTTCATACTTATGACTGTTGGGGGCACGTGATCCCCTTTTGCAAACTTATGACAAGCAAAGTCCATGGGGGAAGCCAAAGTCACTTAACAAGCGTAGTTACTTAACCTATCAACTGCAGTGATTCACTTAACAACTGTGGCAAGAAATGTCATAAAATGGGGCAAAATTCACTTAACAAATGACGCGCTTACTGACAGAAATGTCGGTCTCAATTTGTGGTTGTAAGTCGAGAATTACCTGTACGAATTGAACCCTTATACGCGTCCTGACTAATACAATGTAAGTGATTAGAACCTGCACGGTTAACAGTGGGGAGGAGAGCAAGTTACTGAAATAAGAGGACGGAGGCTTCTTGGTTAAGAGCTTCTAGGATAACGTTAACACCAACAAACAAATACCAGAGCCCAGGCTACATCAGCAGGTGTCCCCCCCCCCAACCCTGTGCCAGAGCAGGTTATCTGGCAAGATAAATTTACTCAGAAAATGGTGGGAACATGCCCAAATCAGCAAAGTCTTCTATGTTGTAATTGCCAGTCCCTTGTGTTGGGTCCCCTGGAATAGGTAGCATATCCTGTAGAAGAACAAAAAGCAAAAGAAAATGTGATTTTTTAAAAAAAAACAAAAATATCAGCTGGGGGCAAAAAGGACTGTTCTGAAACTTCTGCAGTTGAAGACCAATACTTTGTTTTGTTGCAAAGCAGTTAGCTGCAAAAGCAACTGGCGAGGGAATGCTTCCAACATACAAATAAGAGCAAGGATATCTGTACTTGGTATGCTCCATCCCTACTTAAGGCTGTCCATGAGTCAGCCGTGATCTTCTGTTTTTGAATTCGATGCTGCCCACTGGAGTTGGCAGCCAATAAATTAAATACATACATACATACATACATACAGGAAGTTTTTCAGACAGACCGGTCTGATTGAGTACACCTTGACATTTTTAACTGCTATACTGCAGTTTTACTTTTTACAATATCTTTTACCATGCAGCCCTCCAACTAGGGGCATTAAGCAGGCTCAAATCGCAACTGCGAAACATTTTAAATCCAAATTTCTTTTTCTGACAAAGAGTTAAAGAATTAAATCGGGAGACTAAGATGGCCATTTCTAGCTTGTTCTGCTTTCATCAGTTAGCCATACCCTTTATGGGATTCGAACCTGGGCAGTTTACATACTAGGCAGTGATTTAACCACCAAGCCACAGGTTCTCCTCCCCTCTTTGCCAGCAGAGTCAAGGAAGTATATACAGGAAGTTTTTCAGACAGACCGGTCTGATTGAGTACACCTTGACATTTTTAACTACTATACTGCAGTTTTACTTTTTACAATATCTTTTACCATGCAGCCCCCCAACTAGGGGCATTAAGCAGGCTCAAATCGCAACTGCGAAACATTTTAAATCCAAATTTCTTTTTTTTTTTATACATACATGCATACTACATGCATCCATTTCCCACTGTTCTTATTCAGCCCATTTTCTGTCAATCTCTGGAATGTGCAAAGGTACTATGTCTTTAATTTAACTCCTCAGTCGTCTGAGTTTTGCATATCTAGCAATGGGTTAGTTCTAAAGGAGATTCAGATTATCCCGCTGCTCTTGTTCCTTTAAAACTGGAGATATCAGGAAGGTGGTGAGCAATCTTTTCCAAATCATTAAAAAAAAAGTAATAGTTTTGGCTGTGGTTTGTTCTCCAAGCTTGTTTTAATATAATTTCTGAACATTTCGTTACCAAAGTAGGTAACACAATCAGCAAGATTTTCTTGCCCTACAAAATTTCGCCCTACATTGGTTGGGCACCTCATATCAAGAAGGATTTGTAAGAGAATCTAAAATGGATAAGGACCAGTAACAACGATGATCCTGGGACTGCAAGTTAAATCTTATTGTGTAAGAAGAGACTGAAAAAGTTGGTATGCTTAGCCTCGAGAAAAGATGCTTCAGAGAATAGGATAGCATTTTTAAATACCTTAAATAGGCATGACACAGAAGAAAGACAAGACCAGTTCTTTTAAGATACAGGAATACTAGTTGAACATTAGGAAAAAAACATCCTAAAGATAAAAGTAGTTTTACTGAAACAGTAGGGTAGTGGTTCTTAAAACTGAGGTAATTACTTCCAAGAGGGTAAGGGAGCAAATTGTAATCGCTTATTTGTGCACTGAAAACCAGTTTGTATTTGCCACGGCTAGGACACTGGGTGTACAATAGTAGAATGTGGTTTTGTTGCGAGGGTAGCACAGCCGAGCCCTGAAAACTCATCTGTTCCATGCGGCCGGCCTAGCGTAGTTTTGATTGGGTTTTGTTAGGGGTTTTATATTTTAGAGCAGGCTTTTATGTAATATTTACTGTGATTTTTATTATTGCCTGTTCACCGCCCTGAGTCCCGTAAGGGAGATAGGGCGGTATATAAATTTCAATAATAAATAAATAAATAAATAAATTATTTGAGATGGGGGAAAAGGGGTAATTGGGTCAAACGTTTTAAGAACCACTGATCTAAGCAGCTCTCCTTTCCTGGATGTCTCCAAGCAGAGACTGGATGCAGTGGCGTAGTGTGGGTTGTCAGCACCCGGGGCAAGGCAAGTAATTTGCGCCCCCCCCCTCCACAGTGGGTGGCGACCCGGCGGCTCAGATCGGATTCGCACAGCCAGCACTGCAGAGAGAGTGAGTGAGCCAGGCAGGGGCAGAGAGCTGCGAGTGCGAGCGCGCCCTCCCAGATGCGCCCAGTGCGGCCGGCCCCCCCCTGCACCCCCCACGCTACGCCTCTGACTGGATGAGCAGATGTTATGGATGCCTTAACTTGGATTCCAACAGTGAGCAAGAATTGGATTTAAGGATCTCTATGGCTCCTTCCAACTCAATGACTCGATGGTATCCCTGAAGCTAGAACAACGGTGCCCAAACACTTCTGGTGGTTCTCGCTTACCTGGAACACCTCTGTCTGGCTGGTTTGCTGGTGGGGATGCTGCTCACTGTTCTGCTGATTATGGTGCTGGCTTTGCCACTGGGACCAAACTTCAGAAGGCCGTCCTTGAAACTGCCCACTACTTTGGCTGCTCTCGGCTGAAAAACAAAAGAAAAACCACAAGGATGATTTTTGCTAGAAGGACATCTTTCTGTGAAACAAAACAATAATTCTTGCATATATTTTTTTTGTTGGTGGTGAATTAAGGACTGGGAACCTTAAAATGCCTGTAGATGGAATGGAATCTGTTAGCTGCAAGATAGCAGGTGACAGAATACTGCATCCTTCAAAGTCTTTCCTCCTTCGAAAAGCCCTTGTTTTGGGAACAAATCAACTGGGGATAAGGACATGGCAGCCGGGCAGCGTAGACAAGACTCTGCCCTCACACCCCATCATGCAGTTGATGCTGCAGGGCGCGGGCAGAGGGTGTAGCTGCCATAGCGCTGCTGGGCTGCCTGGGCGATCTGGGGCGGGCCCTGGAGGCGGTGAGTGGTCCTGTAGGCAGGCGGGGTGGGGGACGGGGGGCAGAGCGGGGGTGGGGCCATTTTTTGGGCACTCGGTCTCTAAAAGGTTAGCCATCACTGCACTAGACATTAGATCCAGTATCCGGAACAGCTAAAGCAAGGGGGTTTTTTCTCTTCTCCTTGCTTTAGGCTGGAACAATTCACTGTAGAGCTTAAAGAAAAATAAAAAGAAAAAGAAAAAGAGAAAGAGAAAGAAAGAAAGAAAGAAAGAAAGAAAGAAAGAAAGAAAGAAAGAAAGAAAGAAAGAAAGAAAGAAAGAAAGAAAGAAAACAAACCACAGTTATTTTGGTTTGTGTATGCTTTGATGTTCATGTACTCTCTCTTCACCTTTTGTTTCTGGCATTTCCATTCACACCCTGTTCTGAATTTTCAGTAAAGTCTCTCTTGGTTGGGGGTCGTGCTTCGATTTGCTGACTTGAGGACACATATCCTTCTTTTTTTTTTCCCCTGAAGTGATTTTTTTTTAAAAAAAATGCAAACGGGAGCAAATTGTCAGATGAAAAGGAATCAGCCTGGAAGGATACTGGGCTATTAGCCATCAGAATTCTTAAGTCTATTTCCTTTGCAACGATTCCCGCTCAGAATGCCCTTATGCACACAGATAGTTCAAGTCTTGTATTTTGGCTAGCATCACCTTTGGAAAAGTCTGTACAGTATTTCATTCCAGAAAAAGGGCTTCCAAGAGCCAGTGTCATGAAAGCTGCCAAGAGTAATAAAGATAACCCTTGATAGGGGCCACGGAGTCAAATCTTGTAGACCAGGTTTTTTTTTTCTTCAAACTTGGCAACTTTAAGATATGTGGACTTCAGCCCTCAAAATTCCCCAGCCAGCATGGAGAATTTTTGGCAGTGGAAACCCTCGGATCTTAAAGTCACCACGTTCTAGACAATATTTTCAGAATATTGCTTTGCCTTCTTCCGCTTAGAGCTAGCAGGCTTCATACTTAAGGTATGAAGACTAGAACTCACACACTCCCAGTTTCTAGATAGGTGTCTTTAACCACTACACCAAACAGCCTCAATACCCTGCTAGTACTATGATAGTGATAGCAATAGCACTTATATATCGCTTCGCAGTTCTTTTACAGCCCTCTCCAAGCGGTTTACAGAATCAGCCTATTGCCCCCAACAATCTGGGTCATTTTACCGACCTTGGAAAGATGGAAGGCTGAGTCAACCTTGAGCCCTTCAGGATCAAACTGTAGGCTGTGGGCAGAGTTAGCCTGCAATAGCAATAGCAATTAGGACTTATATACCGCTTCACAATGCTTTATAGAACTCTCTGAGCGGTTTACAGAGTCAGCCTATTGTCCCCAACAATCTGGGTCCTCATTTTACTGACCTTGGAAGGATGGAAGGCTGAGTCAACCTTGAGCCAGTAAGGATCAATCTGCTGGCAGTTGGCAGAGTTATAGATAGAAAGAAAGAAAGAAAGAAAGAAAGAAAGAAAGAAAGAAAGGAAGGAAGGAAGGAAGGAAGGAAGGAAGGAAGGAAGGAAGGAAGGAAGGAAGGAGGGGCAATAGCAATAGCACTTAGACTTATATGCCACTTCACAGTGCTTTACAGCCCTCTCTAAGCGGTTTACAAAGTCAGCATATTGTCCCCAACAATCTGGGTCCTCATTTTACCAACCTCGGAAGGATGGATGGCTGAGTCAACCTTGAGCCTTTTTTAGGGTCCAACTTTCACAACCATGGGTAGCTACTGGGAACACAATAGGGTAATGTCTTTGCTTTTCCATATGTGGCTCATGTTCATCATTGCTGTGCAATCCAGTGCAATCCGACATTTTATTTCTATGGGTGAGCAACAGTAAAGAAACTATTCTGCGTAAATCATGCTGTCGTTCTTAATTCCCTGTGTCTTGACATTCATTCTGACAGTCTAAAACACAACCATGCTCTCTGAGCTCGGTTGTTGCATAAAGACCCCGCTCACTCCTCACATTCCAACAGTTATAACCACGGATCAGATGTATTAATGCACTAATGCAGTATGATCAGCTTCCATACCTACCGAAGCCTGTCGTCCTGTTAGCTAGGCTGGAATAGGCGTTTCCACTGGGAGAAGATGTAGCTGGACTGGACAGGGGGCTGAAGGAAGCTGGATCAGCAGGGTAAGTATGGCTGGATCCAATTGCAAAAGGGGAAGATTGGGCCTTGCTGGCTTGTGAAGGAATTTGCTGAATGGAGAGTAAACAAAAAAGATGACATATCTGTCGACATTTCTCAAAAAGACATGAAGCAATGCAACAGAGATCCAAGCTTAATCCCGACAGCCTTGTGCATTACAATATCGGCATCTCTTTTTTTTTTCTTCCCCAGGGCTCATTAGATCATTTGTTTTCATTTTTATTGCTTGGCTGTTGTAATTCAAGGCACTTGTGGAACTGAACAGCATGAGTTGGAGGAAATAGGTCTCAATTTTGCAGCAGACACAAACCTGATGAGATGCTTGTTTCAGGTGTGGGAGATAATAATAATAATAATTAATAATAATAATAATAATAATAATAATAATAATAATAATAATAATAATAATAATAATAATAATAATAATAATAATAATAATAATAATAAAGTTGGAAGGGACCTTGGAGGTCATCGAGTCCAACCCCCTGCTCAGGCAGCAACCCTACACCATTTCAGACAAATGGCTGTCCAGTCTCTTCTTAAAAACTTCCAGTGTTGGAGCATTCACCACTTCTGGAGGCAGGTTGTTCCACTGGTTAATTGTTCTAACTGTCAGGAAGTTTCTCCTCAGTTCTAGGTTTCTTCTCTCCTTGATCAGTTTCCATCCGTTGCTTCTTGTCCTGCCTTCAGGCACTTTGGAGAATAGCTTGACTCCCCCTTCTTTGTGGCAACCCCTGAGATATTGGAAGACTGCTATCATGTCCCCACTCGTCCTTCTCTTCGTTAAACTAGACATACCCAATTCCAGCAGCCGTTCCTTATATGTTTCAGCCTCCAGTCCCCTAATCATCTTTGTTGCTCTTCTCTGTACTCTTTCTAGAGTCTCAACATCTTTTTTACATCCTGGTGACCAAAACTGGATGCAGTATTCCAAGTGTGGGAGATGAAGTCCAAAGGGTGGTGCAGTCCTTATCACTGTACCTTCAATTATGCATCTTGCAATTAAAAACGACAGAGCCCCAAATATAACACACGATTGCTCCGGCCAAAAATAGATGTAAAAACCAGCCTTTTGAAATTTAGTCGCCATACCTGTCCAGGGAATGGAGGGCGACTTCCTGTCCAGGCAACCTGGCTCTGATTTAACTGCCGAGAAATCTGTGACAGGTTCTGGCCTGTTGATGAAGAGGACTGGATGTCGTTGACACCTGGCACATGGACCACAGAGGAGCTGCAAAGAAGAAAACGAAAAGGGATTTGGAAGATAGAAGGCTGCTTGACCTCTAGTCCTTCATTCTGCATGGACCAGTCCAGATATAATTGCATGTGAGGTCTTTGGTGCTCTCTGATATCTCACTGGCCAACTAGGTAATATCATCTATGCTAGAAAGGAGTGTGATTTGGGGAGAAGAGGAGAAGGAGGAGGAGGAGGAGGAGGAGGAGGAGAAGGAGAAGAAGGAGGAGGAGGAGGAGGAGGAGGAGGAGGAGNAAGAAGAAGAAGAAGAAGAAGAAGAAGAAGAAGAAGAAGAAGAAGAAGAAGAAGAAGAAGAAGAAGAAGAAGAAGAAGAAGAAGAAGAAGAAGAAGAAGAAGAAGAAGAAGAAGAAGAAGAAGAAGAAGAAGAAGAAGAAGAAGAAGAAGAAGAAGAAGAAGAAGAAGAAGAAGAAGAAGAAGAAGAAGAAGAAACAAACAAGCTTTTTGAGCTTGGTTGTTTTCTTGTAGACATTTATTACCCAACTAGGTAATATCAACAGAGCTAGAATACCCAGATAAGCAGAGATTAACACCAAGACCAATACAATCAAGAAGTAAACACTATTAATGCACTGATGATGTTACCTAATTGGATAATGAAATGTCTGCAAAAAACAACCAACCTCTTCTACTGGTATAACTATATTTTAAATCTGGCTATTTCTGAACTCTACTTTCCCCCTAGTAACACTGAGGTCAAAAGATTTGATTGATGAATACTTTCTCAATGTTTGCCAAGTGTTGATTCTCTGCCATTATTCATTCTGTCATAAATCACAGTACCTGAAAGATTTCCCAGAATGCCCTGGTTGAAATGGGCTCCCTTGAGAGTAGATCTGCTGGTTTCCTGTTGTGGAAGCCGAAGGCATCATTTTTTTATCTGCTGCAAGCGTAATCAACAGAAAGAGACGACTCAGAACAAGGCAACAATCATACAAACCAGGTTTAGCTTCAGTCATACCATTGTGGCGGCCTACTTGACTTTGTATCCCTATCCTGTACCTAGCCCTCATTCCATGTGTAGCCCACGAATGTGGTTTCACACTACTGAATCCCTTCTAATCTTTAACAGCAAAACACAAAGATGACAAAACTGCTGTTTCAACGTCGCCAACAATTTTGTGGATAGGTTTCCTTCCAATTAAATGCTACATTCTTGTCTTCCAATTATGTCGGTGGGAGGATGACACAATTCCTCGTATGCAACGTTACGTTTGAATGAGATTGCTCAGGTGATGTTGACACAAATCAGAAGAACATTCTACAGATGCATTCAACGTATTCAACTAGGTTGAAGTATTCCTTTAGGATTGGATTCTACTGTTGTTATTTCGCATCTGCTCATATCTAAGCATAGTATATGGTTCATTTTTTTGTGGCTTATCATATTGACCAAACTTCACTGTATGGTTATTTTATTTTAAAATACTGTGCAAAGCCAGTAAATTAGTTAATTCAGTGAACAGGTTATGTGTGTGGGTGACTGCTGCTCTCTACAGCCCATAAGGAAGGATGGTTTACTTCTTTAGGATCTGTCTTTCCTCTTCATTCTACTCCTTACAAGATTCTCATTAAGGAGATAATGGAGTCTGTAGCACATTTGATCTTTCCTAGATTGGATCACATGAGGGGAAAAAAAACCTTTTCTTGATGAATAGAGTATTGATGTCAGAATTCTAAACTTTTGACTTATGCTTCCAATTGTGCCTCATCCTCTCACCACAAGTTGCAAAACCAGGGTTTCAGAAATAAGGCTTTAAGTGCAGGCAGAAACAGAGTCTGCCTCTAATTTTTATGTAATAAGAAAAGTTCACCAAGGGCATCCAACGGTTTCTCTCCTGGCTTCTGTGGGAGCCAATCATGAATACAGCCGGTTCAAAAATTAATTGCTGACCAGGAAAGCAGAGTTCATCTCAGTTTAACCTTATTTATTTTGGCCTTAAGCCACGACTTGAAGAACAATGGCAAAATTGTACCAAATTGCAAATCCACCCAAGATGCTGCAAAAGGCATTGTATTTACAACTGACTGTGGGGATACTTTGAAAATCTTGACCAGATTTAGCAATTGCTAAAGAAAACTGGCTATGTTAGAAGGGACAGTTCAGTTGAGCCCAATTCTGCCTACAATGGAAGACTGGAGATTGAAAGTTTCGTATCTTGCTGAAATGGCAAAGATTTCGGCTTTTTTGAAGAACCATTCAAATGAACAATTTTTATTAATATGGAGAAGATGGATTGTTTATATTCAAAAGAAGCATAGAGTGGTAGAATATAATTTAGGTTTTTTTTTATTTTGTTTACTTTTTCTATCTTTTCGATATCTTGTGGAGTTAGAGATATTAGTATTTGCTTACTTTTATATGAATATTATCCTGGGTTTAGGTTTGGGAAGTCCGGGGGGGGAGGGGTTTTTTTTATTTGTTATTGTGTTTACTTATGTTATGATTGTTTTTTATGATGTAAAATAATAAAACTTCTTTGGAAAAAAAAAAGAAGGGACAGTTCAGTAGAATTTCAGATTAGGATGAAGAAGGTCAAATTTCAATCTTCCCTTGTCCAGGATGAGTTGGTGCTCTTGAGTAAGTCATAAGTCTTAGGCTGACTAACCTTACAGGACTATTGTGCGGATAAAACAAGGGGGTGCGCAGAAAGAAACACACATCATTTTCTCAGGGAAAAAGTAGGGGGACATAAATATATTATGGCTGGCAATCTTTTTAGCTACTACGTGCACAGATGTCCAGCAAACAAACACTCAAAAAGAGAGGGGGAAGAGAGGGGGGCATGTGATTTACCACTTGTTTATTCAATTCTCATAAAGCTTTGGTGCAGTCAGATAAATCAGATGAGCTTTGCTGAATTTATGAAAGTTCAGTCCAAAGTAATAAACATTTATATTCCATTTTTGGAATCCAGGAGCCCCTCTGTTACCAACTTCTTTTAAAACAATACTTTTGGCATAACTGCTTTTGCCAATAACTCTTCCCACTATTGAGCGAAATAGGCACCTTCACCAAATGGGCATCGTCAAAACGTGCCAGACTACAACTGCCATAATGCTTAGCGAGCACGGCTGTGCAGGCTGAGCATTTTCAGAACCACGACCCAACACGATCGGAGGGGTCAAGGTTAAAGGCAGCTGCAGTAGATCAAGGTCTCTTGACACTGAAAGGAACTCCATCTGGAAATAAATAGCATCTGGGATCACTGTCGTTATAATCCCAGACAGAAAACAGAAATTAAAAATAGTAACAAACATGTGTCTATTATCCAGAATTTTCTCCCGCCCCCATAAGCTGAAATTCAAATTGAGCATGAGGACTTTTTAATGGGAACATCTCAACGGCAGAAAATAAAGTTTGGATCCAGGCTTACATGAAAAATGCGGAAACGTTGCCACAATGTTGAGAAATTAGACCCAGAGACTGTACAGCATCATTCGAATGTCTCCGCTCGCAGCAGAAGCCAAGCAAAAGGCCATCTAGCAAATCTGATTTCTGATATTTAGATATTTGTTTTTTATTTTTTTGGCCAGGGATGAAGGAGAAGTGAGTTATATCTGACTTGGGAGATGCACTCAATGCAGATGTAAAAAATTCTTCGTGCGCTGTATATTTTTTTAAAAAGATATTTTTACAAGCTCTGTTGCTTATAAACACATGGCCGACGCAATAGGAGATATTTTCATTTTTTTTCCCCCACCTCCTGCAAAGATACGTGCTTGATGGCTGCAGAGCAAATGTCTCTAGTAGGATAGGTCTTTCTGTGCAACCTCCAGCTAGTTGGACACGCTGGCCCAGAGAAAGTCAGTCCAAAATCAACATCGTGAAAAATATGTAAAAGTAACAAGGAGTTTGCCTCTAATCCTTTTTAATGGCATCCTAGGTCAAAAATGTCTCCTTATAGCTTGTAGGAAGTGCAAGGAATTTAATTTTTTTTTCCCCAGTTGAGGGAAAAGTGAGTACATCTTACACTCAATACTGGTAGGGGCCACACCCAATCTCTTTCTGATACCCTCCTTTCTCTTCTCTCCCTCTCTCTGCCAAGCAATAGTCTACAGCAGTGGTGGCGAACCTATGGCACGGGTGCCAGGGGCGGCACTCAGAGCCCTCTCTGTGGGCATGCGTGCCGTCGCCCCAGTCCTAGGCCTTCAGCTGGGTTTTATAAAACCTTTTCGCTTTAGGCCTCCACCGCCATGTACAAAAAAAAAAAAGGTTCAATCAGTCAATTTCAACTTCTCGCGGGGGAAAAAAAAGATCTTGCAAAGTTGGAATTGATTAATTGAACTTTTTAGTCCCACCCAGTCTGCCATTACCACCGTAGCCATGCCCACCCAATGGGCCATGCCCACCCGGCACTCGACGATGCATAAGTGGATTTTGGGTTGCAGTTTGGGCACTCAGTCTCTAAAAGGTTTGCCATCACTGGTCTACAGAAAAGAAGTCTAGAATAGTCTACCTCTTCTAGTGCCCTAATTTTTTTCCCCCCTTGTAGCCATGCTACAATATTCATCTTGATTCCAAGATCACAGGACTGGGTGAAAGAGTCCTATTAAAGTAGTGCTTTCTGATTTGGGCATTGTCCGGATATATTTGAACCAGAATATAGGAATTCACTTTCAAAGATAACACTGACAGACATATTTTCTCCATGGCAGGACTAAATCTGGTTGCCTGGTGAGAACTTTGCAGGAAGGCCTGTTAAAGGCTACTCCTCTCTCTGAACCAAAATGACAGGCCTTCTTGGTGACACCCCACACTCTGTGGTACCCCACACTCTGGATCTCTTTCCTTCCAGAGATTCAGAAAGCTCCATCATCCGTGATTTTTTAGAAGACCTTGAAAGGCTATTTCATCCAGCCTTCAACACTAACTATGTTTTATCGGTGCTCAGCCCTAGTGATTGAGTGTCGATTATTATTGAATTTAATAATCTTGATTCGTGCCTATTGTTGCTTATCCTTTTAACTTGTTGTGACTTGCTTAGACTACTTTGGATCGGACAGGCTCTAGATATGGTAAAGTAAATAAACAATAGGAGATTAAATGCCACGGTCACCTTCTTAAACTCTTCTGCTTCTCTGACGAATGAGATCCATTGGGGGGCTATTTTGAAGAGAGTTATAAGGATAGCCATCTCCTCCACATGGAACGGTTGCCTCCAATAGTGACAGCAATAGCACTTAGACTTATATACCACTTCATTGTGCTTTCATCACTCTCAAAGCGGTTTACAGAGCCTGCATATTGCCTCTCACAATCTGGGTCCTCATTTTACTGACCCTCAGAAGGATAGAAGCCTGAGTCAAACTTGAGTTGGTCAGGAAGGAATCAAACTCCTGGAATCAAAGGAATCAAACTCCTGGCAGTGGGCAGAGTTAACCTGCAATATTACATTCTAACCACTGTGCCATCACGGCTCTGACCTCCAAAATGAAGAGACAACAATCAACAGACAACATATTTCAGCCGCAGATTCTGTACTTTGGACTATTCCATTTTGCATTTAGAGTAACCCCTTTGTGTAATTTCTCTGGGAATTAGTGACAATTGAGCTATTCCAGAAATATATATATATATATTCATGATTGAGGGATGTTACCCTGTATGGATTGAAATTAGTTTTCCCCCCCTCTCTGACAATAAAATAGTTTTATTGTTTTTATGATGCGCACTATGTTTTATTGATTGCAACTTTGGGGAGTTGATTCAATTACGGTAGTTATAGAAGTACAGTAAGTAAATGTGTACACAAATAATACAAATAGCTAGATCCTAGACATTCACCCAGTGATCCAGGCCTAGTGTTGTCGCTGGAGACAACCAGCTTCAGGGAGCAATGACTGTTAAAAACATTTTCCATGATGGATGGAAGAAAGATGACTGCATCTCGAAAGAAGAAGACCCAGCTGTGCTGCTCTCTCCAAGTGACCCTTTGTTACAAACAGTGAGATGCTTCTGGCTTGGCTAAGAACGCCTTGCATGGTGATTAATTAATAACAAATGTTAAAACTTCAGCAGCAGCAGGGAAGGTTAGGAACAATAAACAGAGGGAAAGATCACAATAAAAATAACCCTAAAATATTTCTGAGAAAAACAAAACATCATTTCTGTCCCCTCTCTGGAAAAAGCTAGATTGATTTATTGAATTGCTACTCGTGCCCAGCTATCTGCTGACAACAGTTGTTAGAGATGCAAGTATCTAATTTTTTTTTTTAATTTAGAATAGCGAAACCATACAACTGAAAGGACTGTTTTGAATCCAATCCCTTTCCTTATGAAGAAATCCAAGATTTTCCATTAAATATTTAGCAATGAGTTGGGAACTGGGGAGAAGTCAACTCTTGCATCCTCTGCTAAGAATAGAATAGGTTGAAAATAGAAATATAGACAGCCAACTATTACAGCTGTAAGACTTAGCCTTTCCAAAGAAGACATGTATTTACAAACCCTCCTGAAGATTGGGTTGTATGCTGGGTGAATTTACCCCTTTTTGCAAGGGCTAAGACACGGCTTTTTCTATTTTAGTTTCTCCTAATTGGAGAAGATTCGACATCTTCCAACAAAGATGCCTTCACAGAATCCTAAAAATTTGTTATTTTGATCATGTTACTAACAAAGAAGTGCTCCAAAAGAGCTTCTCCTGCAAATTACATAACATTGTGCGTGCGGAAGACTCCAATATACAGGTCATATACTCCGTATGGAGAATAGCAATAGCACTTAGACTTATATACTGCTTCATAGTATTTTATAGTCCTCTCTAAGTGGTTTACAGAATCAGCACATCGCCTCCAACAATCTGGGTTCTCATTTTACCGGCCTCGGAAGGATGGAAGGCTGAGTCAGCCTTGAGCCGGTCAGGATCGAACGGCTGGCAGTGGGCAGAATTAGCCTGCAATACTCCACTCTGACCACTGCACCACAAGGGCTCTATAATCAAATAATCAAATTCCCAGGATGACAGTGGACCCCCTCGATGCCAAATGATCAAGAGGATGCCCTCGAAATACATGGCAAAGAACATCCATGGATGATTTAAAGACCTTAAACATCACAAGGGAAGACGCTGAAGTATTTGCCCCAAACCGAAAAAACTGGAGATCCCCTTGCGGCCCAATATGCTACCTAGCATGGAAGAATTTAATGCTAATACTAATAGGAGAGACCTTCCCACATTGCCATTTTCTGAGAGTGCTAACACTCTACAAGTGCAATCATCAATTGTCTTCCAAATCCAGAGATAAGGAGTTAACTCAGAACAATTCAACCTGGGTTTGAATCTCTCCTTTTCCCCATTATGTGTTTCCCACTGAAACAGAGTGTGGGGTTTTAGGGTCTCTTGATGGGATTAGTGAACTGAGAATCCAAAGTCACAATAACTTAACTTCTACTGAAGATGAAACTTAGAGAACTTATTTTACTTACAAGTAGTTATGCCAGCAAACATCTCCGCAAATCTTGGATCCCTTTCCTGGGTGAAGATGGTGTCCTGTTTTTCCACTGCTTTTCCTCCCTCGTGAACATTAGACTGTATACTTGGAACTGGCACCTAATTGCAACGGGCAAAGAGAAGGAAACCACAATTTCTTTGATGGCTAAATGTCCACCCAATTTATTAAGAAGCAAGCCCTTATTCCCCAGATTTGCTTTCTGTAATAAGACATTTTTGTACTGCTCTTATTATTCCTTGGCCCACGAACATGATGCACTAGTACTTTACAATAGTAAGGAGCTGTTGCTTGAATGGTATGGATCCAGGTAAAGTGACCTGTGGTTGAGGTGGGTGGTTGAGGGACACCAGGTGAATAGTTGCAGACATCAGAAGCATTTGCACATTCTTTCTTCTGGAGGCGCTTCTAGGTAGAAAGATTCCACAAATCTTTCAGAGGACACTCTGCGGGTGTCCTCTTATTGACAATTTTGGATGGAAATAACGACAGAAGGAGGAGAAGAAAAACACAGGGAGACTGCGGCCAATGCTGTTGTTATAAATCTCACAAGTGAGGCAGAGTGAGAACAAAGTAGAGCTTTGCAGGAAAACTGGGAATATGCCTTTGTTTTTGTCCCTTTCCTGGGAGAAGATGGCATCAGACAAAAAAACAAGAAAAAACCCCTGAAGGATCGGGCAAAGGAGTCATCTGGTCCAGCATTCTGGGCCACCATGAATGTTAAAAAAGCTAACAAACTTCTCCAGATGATACTGGAGGTGAGTCTGTAGGAAACCACTAAAAGTCCTGTCAATTAGTCTGGTCTTTTAAAGCCATTGCCAAATCTCCTGGTGGCAAATCGCTTGGTTTAGCTGTGGCTTATTTTAAAGAACCCAATTCTTTAAATTCAGCGGGGGCTCTCACCTGAGTTAAGTCATAGGAGGAAAGTCCATCTCTCTGGTGTACTTCCAACTCAGCTTGTTGCTGCTGAAGCTGCCTGAAAGGAAGCGAGAAGAGCAGTGGTCATAAATTCTTCTGAGACTGTCATGGAGGAAGACTTATGTTGTCCTGCATTTGCCAATCAAAAGCCTAAGATGCCAATCAAGCCAGTCTTCTAAAGCCTCATCTGAGCTTAATGAGGACAGAGGGAAGAAAGCCTACAGATCACAATCCAATTAGTAAATCTTCAAAAATAAATTAAGCTATGAGATCACATCTGTAGCCACTTCAAAGAAAACTGACATATCCAATTCAATAAAGAGAAGCTGAAATCCATCCAAACTACTTCTGTAAGTCATTCAAATACAGGGCGGGTAGAAACTTTGTCCAGCATCAAAGACTTTGAGGGAAACACAGCAAGACGTTAATCTGAAACCTGTAAAAAAAAGCTTATACACTGTGTGTGTATATAATCACAGGGAATTAATTTGGTGAGTTTCAATTTATAATTTATCAGTTAATCAAATGGCTACGGCAGAGGTCCCCAACCTTTTGGGCACCAGGGACTGGTTCCTTGGAAAGAGGTTTTTCCACGGACAGGAGGGTGCATGGTTTTGTGTGTTGCCTGCATCCCGTGGATGGGGCTTTGCCTGTTTGTGCGGACCGGTTGCTGGCATGCCATGGCCCGGTACCGGTCCACGGACCTGGGTGTTGGGGACCCTGGGCTAAGGCAACTCTGAAGAATATTTTATCACTCATACATCCAAGGAGATCAAAATGGCATAGTCTGGCTTTTTCTCCCTGTTTCCCACAACATATCCAGATCAGACTGAAAAATGTACAAAGACAAAATCAACTTCTTGAATGAGTGGATTCTCCAGTCCTCTAAAGCTTGAGATATTACAATGCCCCTCTCCAGTTTAAAATGATACAGTCTAACTTTTATCAGCCAGAGTAATCATGCCAACCATGGGGCTGGGAAAACCCAGAATTATGATCCAACCATTAGGTCATGGTGGCGCAGTGGTGAGAATGCAGTATTGCAGTCTAACTCTGCTCACTGCCAGGAATTCGATTCTGACTTGCTCGAGGTTGACTCAGCCTTCCAAGGTTGGTAAAATGAACATCCAGATTGTTGGGGGCAATATGCTGACTCTGCAAACCGCTTAGATAGAGCTGTAAAGCACTAGGAAGTGGTGTATATAAGTGTAAGTGCTATTGCTATTTGGGAAGAACTTCTTTGTTACACGTTCACAGATATTGCGGGTTTCAAAAATAATATTAGGAAAATGCTAACGTACATTTTCCAGTTAACGGGACTGTCTTTTAAGTATGTTCAAATTGGTCTTTTTTTAAATTAGCGAATCAATCAGTTAATACACATGCACCTGTATCAACATAATCCAGTCAATGGATGTGACTGAGATCACCCAAGCTTTCATTCTGTTGACATGAGTGACTTCTTGAAGACTGATCAGGAAGTTTGGCAGAGCTTTTAACGTTTCAACAAATGAAGGAAATTAATTCGTTAAATACAAATGCCGTTGATATTCTACCTTCACTGCATTTCTGACCCAATGTTGAGTATTAGTACTTTGAACCTTCCAAAATACCGAAATGATCTCGTTTTGTGTGTGTCGTGGGAGGAAACGCAAAGGGAAGAGGCAGAACATCTGCTCAGTTTCAAAACTAACAGACGCTGGAAAGCTTGTGTGTATGTAGGAAGAGGCTGCGTTTTACATTAGATTCTCCTTTTCAACAAAGAATGAAAGGTTGGGTGCCAATGTTTTACTTCTGAGCTTGGATGGCTGTGCCCAAAACAAACTTTTGCAGAGAAGAACATGAACATTTGAACCTAAAATTTAGTTGTCTTTCCACACAGAAACCAGATTTGGAAAGCTGATGGCCTCAAGCCAGGTGTCAGTATCAAATAAACACAATTCTGATGATAATCACCAGTCTGCTTATAGCTCTCGATTTTTTTTTTAAAAAAGAGCTTCATGTATATCAAGTCTTTTTTCCCCCCTCTTTTTCACACCTTCATACTTCGAGTGATATTTAGCCCTGCTTTCTAGTTATACAATCTGAAGTCTTTCAGATCTTTTGACCTATAGTCTTTTGACTTGTTTTTGGGAACTTTTGACTTATACAGACCTATAGGGTTTTTAAAGGTTTGCTTTTAAATGCTGGTTTGGACTAATACAGATGGGAGCAGCTGGAGGAGACAGGCCTGGTTAGCCAAAACAGGAATAATCTATTTGAGAAATGTTTCTTTCTTTCTTTTCAGCCATAGTTTCATAACCTTGTGAACTCTCAAGCTTCCTCCTTCCGTTATATATTCAAGATGGACAATATTTAATATTTATTTGTTATGTATATGTAGGGGTGTGGGCCTATACATACAGTATGTTGTACATAGTATGTTTAGGTGTGTGTCATGTATGTGTTTCGCTTTGAGAGCGGGCAACTAAATCTCATTTTTGATGTGTGCCGTTGTGCCCACAGTAAAAAAAATGTCAATAAAGGTTATCTTATCTTATCTTATCTTATCTTATCTTATCTCATCTCATCTTATCTTATCTTATTCTGGGAGATGAAGTCCACGAGTCATAAAAGAGCCAAGGTTGACTACCCCTGCACTAGACATTTAAGCCTCTGTCCCACAGGGATAAATGTTGACTTTAATTCCATCAATGGCACTTAGCTTCCTTTCCGATCTCTCAATCTGATCCACTCCTCTCAGATTGTTTCTAAACATTTTAAAGAGTCTGTAAAGCTAAAATCACAAGCTCCACATCTAGCCCCTTCTGTTATTTAGAACGCTACAGATGTACTGCAACTTTCTAAAACAAGGTGAAAGGGCTCTCGCGCTATTTATTGCTTCCTTAGAAAAGAGTATCAGTAATGCATTAGCCCATAGCAGCCTACCCCCATATTAGGGAAGGAAGCCTAGCTTGTTTTGCTAAGCCAATTGAGGATAAATATTACAGAATCCAAAGAAGGTTTTAAACATTCCATTTCTTTTCAAGTGCAACGCTATAGATGCAACCTTGAAAGGGAAAATTCCTTGTTCAATGTCAACATAAGTAATTTATTGGCCCAAATACATGACTTTTTTATTTTTAAATTGGCCTAAGGACTTCTGGCTGAACAGAAGTTTGTTTATGAGCAATAGATCCTCCTGCTTCTACCATCTGACCATTCGGAATAGACATTGATTTATTATCCAGGTTTCGGTTCCTCTTTGGACCCAAGTCAACTCCAAGATAATCTACTGACCATATCAACAAAACATTAGAATAGCATTCTGGAAAGTGTCCATGTTGTTCTAAACTGCAGGTCCTTAAACTCAACTTGGTGAAGAAGAAAAAAAGTGAAATGAATGAGCAACAGGAGAAATGGAGAAGAGGGAAACCACAACTTTCAAAGTGCTGAAATATATGACTCTGATTAGTCATTTCCATTTGAAGAAATTTTTATTGTATAGGGGCAGCCCCAAGGAAATCCTGTTCCTTGTGGGTCACGAGATCGCCATCAGATAAAATTGAGATTTAAAATAAGGTCCTATTTATATGTTGTGGCACGGTGGTTAGAATGCAGTATTGCAGGCTGACTCTGCCCACTGTCAGAAGTTCGATCCTGACGGGCTCAAGCTTAACTCAGCCTTCCATCCTTCCGAGATTGGTAAAATGAGGGCCCAGATTCTTGGGGGAAAGATGCTGACTCTGTAAACCACTTGGAGAGGGCTGTTGTAGAGAGTAAGGAAGATGACCTGGATGGAGATGGGCAAGATGCTTTCCAGATGGGCTGAAACATTTTTTTCAGTCCAAAGCAATAAGATAACATTTGGAAAAGATACAGGCAGATTCTTCTCTAATTCATTGGGATATAAGAAGTGGAGGAGGTATCTATGGAGATTCTCAATCATCCAAGTCATGGTGTCCCAAAGGCATTTTTTCAAAAGGCAATTGGACTTTCTTGAAAACCTTTTGCTTCTTCTTCTTCAGTTCTGAAGAAGCTTCTTGGATGAGAAGCTAAAGGTTTTCAAGAACCCCCCCCCCAAAAAAAAGTCCGGTTGCCTTTTGAAAAAAATAGTCTTGGGACATAGGGAAGAGGTCCACCATACTTCTAAGCCCAGAGGTCCAGGGGAATCCAGCCAACAACAAGCCAGGGTTTATTGCTATGTTATGTTTGGAATGGCTTGATCAAGCTCACCTGTCAAGGAGACACCCAACCCATGTCATCACACAACACTCATTAAAACGGATGAGGCATTCACACGGTCGCCTGGCTGGACCTGCTACTTTGATTGTTTTTATTCCCCCCTTCCCACTCCCACCCCAGGAGAAACGCCGGTCTAAATCCACGGTAATTCTTAGGATCCATTGTGTAATTTTGTGCTCAAAACATACAAAGAGAGACGATAGCTTGGAAACACAGGCCTCATTCCAAAATAAAATTGCTTTCAAGAAAGGAAGACCTTGCTTAGCTTTCAAAAGACGTACTTGACATTTGTGTTGGTGCAGATGATATACTCAATCTCATCCGAATACGGGTTCTGAAACGTAAAGCTGCTAGTCCTGATTAACATCCATTCCCGGTTCTTGGTCCGAAAGCGATACATCACAGAGAGCACCTGGCCCTTCAGCTTCACCACCTGCAAAATAGTTGGGGGAAAAAATCACTGGAAAAGGAGATCATGGTCTAACCCAGGGGTAGGCAACCTTGGCTCTTTTATGACTCGTGGCCTTCAATTCCCAGAATTCCTGAGCCAGCCACGAGTCATAAAAGAGCCAAGGTTGCCTACCCCTGGTCTAACCCAAAGGGGAGACTTACAGGGTACCAAGAGAAACCCACCTTGAAAGAGTAGTGTTTTAAGCAGGCAGAGCCTCATCTGATGAGGTTAAACGGCTTCTGCCTTTGTATGTGACCTTTAGCATTTCTTTTTAACCACCAGCACAACCAAAAAAAATGATATTTAGGGATGACAGACATCATCATAGATGATGGGTAGTGATTATGGACGATGCTAGTATGATGCTTTAACTGAAATTCAAAATAACGGGAGATAACAACTCAAGAAATGTAGCAATAGTGTTTATTTGAACAGTGAGTGTATATCTCATATTTTGCCAGCAAATACAGCTAGACCTTGACTTACAACCAGTCATTTAGTGACTGTTCTAAGTTACAACAGCACTGAAAAAAGTGACATTTCCCACACTTACAACTATTGCAGCATCTCTGTGATCATGTGATCAAAACTGTTGACAATTAACCCATATTTATGATGGTGGCAGTGTCACCTTTTACGAACCTCTGACAAGCAAAAATTCACTTAACAACCGTGCTACTAACTTAACAACTGCAGTGGTTCCAACTGTGGCAAGAAAGGTCACAAAATGGGGCAAAATTCACTTAACAACTGTCTCACTTAGCAACAGAAACGTTGGGCTGACTTATGGCTGTTACGTCAAGCACTATCTATAGTAGTATGTATTTGAACAGCGGGTGTATAGCTCCTCTTTTGCCAGCAAATATGCTAAATATGCTGTGTCACTAGAGAATATTGTTGCTTGTTTTTCTTTTACAAAGGAGAACTATAAGCTGGAGGAAACTCAAGGAGTTTTTGCACACCCCACATAGCTAATCCATCAACATTCAGCCGTTCAGTAGGAAAACAAGAAGATGCTGAATGTCTATGGAGATTCTCCGTCATCCAGGTCTTGGTTGCCCCACAAAGGTGCTTTTTCAGGAGCAACTGGACTTTCTTGTTTTTCTTTGAAGACGTTTCGTTTCTCGTCCAAGAAGCTTCTTCAGTTCTGACTGGGTGGTAGGAAATGGAAGGACTTATATTCTTCTGTCTGCAAGGAATATAAATCCTTCCATTCAACAATAATAAAGTTGGAAGGGACCTTTGAGGTCATCTAGTCCAACCCCCTGCTCAGGCAGGAAATCCTACACCATTTCGGACAAATGGCCGTCCAGTCTCTTCTTAAAAACTTGCAGTGTTGGAGCATTCACCGCTTCTGGAGGCAGGTTGTTCCACTGGTTAATTGTTCTAACTGTCAGGAAGTTTCTCCTTAGTTCTAGGTTGCTTCTCTCCTTGATTAATTTCCATCTATTTGCTTCTTGTCCTGCCCTCAGGCGCTTTGGAGAACAGCTTGACTCCCTCTTCTTTGGGGCAGCCCCTGAGATATTGGAACACTGCTATCATGTCCCCACTGTCCAGTCAGAGCTGAAGAAGCTTCTTGGATGAGAAGCGAAACGTCTTCAAAGAAAAACAAGGAAGTCCACTTGCCTCTTGAAAAAGCACCTTTGGGACAAGGAAGTGCTGAGTTTCAGGCAAGGACCGGAGCAATCTAACCGTGCAGCTAAATATGGCAAGGAAAGCAGCTAAAATGCGTGCCTGGTAACCCTCCAAAACCATTTGTCAAAAGACACTCTGGATAAATCAAAATCAATTTGTCTTACAGTGACACAAATTCCAATGTCTTTTCTGAAAAGACGGGGCTCAGCATAGAATTAGTTCCACATGCTTGATTTGAATTATTTGCTGAGTAAAAATTTCAGTGAGCTGGACGTTTATTACTCGCAGTTGTAAGAAAGTTTAAAAATAATCCGATATTTATAAATCATCGATTTGAGTTTTTCCAAATGCATGGCTTGACAGCTTAAGAGAGTCGAAATTGGCAGAACAGCATTCACTGACTTTGGCCTGCAGGAGTTACAGGCATTTTAATGGCTTTGGTGGTTATTTTTTTTAAAAAAAAACATGAGATGAAAGGTGACACCCCAGGATGGTGTATTGAGCACAGTTTTTTACAACTAGGAAAAACCTGAACTTGAAGTCCTAACATGCAAAACAAACCGAAGGCTGTATTGATACTTAGCATTCAAGTTATGATCTGTTACAGAATTTTTGCATGCAATGAACAGCTCAGGGGAATATTGGAGAATATAGTTTTGTGCTTACATATAGTTCTAGGATTTGACATGAAGACAGAGAGCATGTATTAAGTTTTATTTACATTCTAAGCAAGTGTATTACGCATTTGACCACTGTTATCATCTTTCAGCTGGCCAGCATGACTAAATAATCATGCTTTTCACATTGGGATGAAAAATACAAAGAGTATTTATGAATAAGGAGAATGTTACCTGCTGGAAACTTTCTCTTAAATGGCTTTGATCTTCTGGATGACAGAATTCTAAAATGTCTTTCCCCAAAAGATCCTGGTAAGCAAACCATAGAAGGAGAAAAAACACACCAGTTACAAAATGTTACAAATTGCCAAAGGAATAGTTTACTAACAATGAATTCACTAAAAGTTTAAAAATAAAATTTGGAGCTACTTAATAAAAAAATAATAAACAAGGCCCCAATAATTGGTTTGCAAATCCATCAGATGAATACAACGTCTTAAGAAGGGACTTACAAAACAAGAGCAGAGATAAGGATAATTATTTTCAGATGCTCCCAGTCTCAAAAGATCTACCACACAATAATACAACTGAATCAACAATAGTTTTTTATATGAAAATTTGAAATTTGTGGTTTAAGACTTGAGGTATGGAGAAGAGTTGGTAAGACTGGGTAACATGAGATATATATTTATTGAAGATTCATTAATTTAATGAAAAAGAGTCTATCCTTTTAAGACATTTAAGACTCTATCCTCATTCCTCCCTCCCTCTTTTCTTTCTTTCTTTCTTTTTCTTTCTTTCTTTCTCTTTCTTTCTTTCTTTCTTTCTTTCTTTCTTTCTTTCTTTCTTTCTTTCTTTCCTTCCTTCCTTCCTTCCTTCCTTCCTTCATCTTTGGCTATGGACCTCTTTAAAAATATTCAAAGGCAAACTCTGAAATTTGGTGACTTAGGAAAAAAAAGAACAAACAGACCTGTGGCTGATAGCCAATAACACTGATGCATCTTGGATCCACAAAGGTAATTATTCCATCTGAGCTATGCCGGGATAGGAATTCCGTGGGGACTGACATTCCATTCATATCCATGCACACCGGCGAACTGGTCACCTGAGAAAAAATAATTCATACATGCTTTATTCCATACAAATAGCAGGGGATGGGTGGGGGAATCATCAAAATACAGTTTACAAGAATAGATTTTACTGGTGGTTGTGAAAGAAAGCTGTATAAAAGTTTATAACTGGATGCAACATTCAATAGAAGATCGAATGGTTATGGATGTGAGTTTGTGATTTCCCATCTCAAATGGGAACACTTATTCAAGCAGTCAGATAGGACAAAAAAAAAGTCTGGCATCCAGGACAATTAAATAATGTAAAAAAAAAAAAAAAGTCCAGGCTGGGTTTCTAAATAACCTTCTTAAAAATGCTCAAAACAACCAGAACATTGGAAGCAAAAGATTTAAAATACTAAGGACCCCATTCTGTGCTAATAATTCCATTGATAATCAGACCCAAACAGGCTGAATTCACCTGCAAGCAGGAACGAAAGTTTCCCAGTAAGCTGCTGCAGAGGAATATGGTCATTGGGATAAATCATCTCAGATGGGGACTGCAGCCAAGAAATTAAAAGACGCTTGCTCCTGGGGAGGAAAGCTATGGCAAATCTAGACAGCATACTAAAAAGCAGAGACATCACCCTGCCAACAAAAGTGCGTATAGTCAAGGCCATGGTTTTCCCAGTTGCAATGTATGGCTGTGAAAGTTGGACCATAAGAAAGGCTAAGTGACAAAGAATTGAGGCCTTTGAACTCTGGTGCTGAAGAAGACTCCTGCGAGTCCCCTGGACTGCAAGGCGTTCAAAGCGGTCAGTCCTAGAAGAGATCAACCCCGACTGCTCTTTAGAAGGCCAGATCCTGAAGTTGAAACTCAAGTACTTTGACCACCTAATGAGAAGGAAGGACTCACTGGAGAAGAGCCTAATGCTGGGAAAGATGGAGGGCAATAGAAGAAGGGGACGACAGAGAAGGAGGTGGCTGGATGGAGTCACTGAAGCAGGAGGCTTGAGCTTCAATGGACTCCAGAAGATGGTAGAGGACAGGAAGGCCTGGAGGAACGTTGTCCATGGGGTCGCGATGGGTCGGACACGACTTCGCAATTAACAACAACAACAACAACAACCTATTATGAAGAGTTTTCTAGTAGCAACCCAACTTTTTGGCAGCAGTGAGTGCTTGGCCAGCCTAGAAAGCTATGCAAGTACAGAGGGTATTATGCCGAAATGGGCTTTAGACAAGACACTCTTATATGAACTCTTCTCTCTATCCCACAGTGCCAGATGGAGTTCTCAAGCGAAGGAGCACGTTCCAGCATGGTTAGCCCTTCAATGTTCTCCCCCAGAACTGAAACCGTATCAACCTATCACCCCAAGGAAAGAGAACGGCTCTGGCTTCCAGCTGGACGATGTACTTCCTGGGGAGAGAAGAGTTCATAATGTACGCTCTTCCTGATTTCTTTTGTGGTGACGCTTCCCTAGGTGTTGACCTCCCAGCATGGCTTGGGCAAAAGGCTTTTGGTCCTCTACATATCGTGAATAATCCTTCGGAATTGCAGTCTTATTTAGACAGCTGCACCATTAGCAGATTATGTTCTTCCTCTCCCCACTTGTGCAACCCCTAAGTAGTGTTTAGTTTTTGTACTTAAGGCGTAAAGGAGTCAGCAGTGCCAAGATCGCTCTTTGCCTCTTCAAGGAAGTCAGCTACATAGAAAACCAAATGGGACTAAAGCATAATTCAAGGATTTTACATGAGCACATCTACCTTTAATAATATTCTGGAAAAAACCAATATATGAGTTTTATTCCTGTATCCAGCTTACCTGATTAGTCACTATGTCAAATAAGACCCCGGGTGTTGTCCTATTCAATGAAAACCCATTGCCCATTTGACCCTGATCTCTGTGTGTGTATGGACTCAACCTGTGATGTGTTCTGGTCAAAACAAAGATCAATGGTCATCACAAGGCCAGGATCAGGACAAGGCCCTCTTCCTTGCTGCTTCCTTGCCTCCTGAAATTGTCTCCCAAAGTTGTGGGTGCTCCATAACTGGAAGTTTTCAAGAATTGCTGGGCAGCCACTTATCTGGAATGGTATAGGCCAGGGGTAGGCAACCTTGACTCTTTTATGACTTGTGGACTTCAAGTCCCAGAATTCCTGAGTCAGCATGGCTGGTTCAGGAATTCTGGATGTTGAAGTCCACAAGTCATAAAAGAGCCAAGGTTGCCTACCCTTGGTATAGGGTCTCCTATACCATGGGCAGGGAGTTGGACTAGAAAACCTCCAAGGTCCCTTCACACCCTATTATTCTATGTTCTATGTTCCTTCTATTGATGGACAGGGCCATAGCTCAGAGGCAGAGTACCTGCCTTGTATCTCAAAGCTCCCAGTTTCAGTTTCCAGTATCTCCAACCAGGTATGAAAACCAATGCTGGAGGGTCTCTGCCAGGTAGATCAATCTTCCTCAGTTCAATGTATTGAATCCCTGCTGCAAGGTGCATCAAAGTGGAAAAAACTGGGACCTACAGTACCATACATGAAGCCTTTGATTTAATTTCCAAAGCCTGCAGCAGGAGAACATTTCAGACTTCAGATTTCTGGTAAGAGATGCTTTTCCGCTGGTTGGTGAGACAGACGAGTGCTACAAAGGGATGGAGGCACCGTTCTCCTTTGGGCACTGATTCTAACCAGTGTTGCCTTCAACCCTGTCCCTTATCTCTGAGATAATGTGACACACAACAGAGAGAAGATGATCTACCTTGGCCATCAGGTGAACCTGAGCTTGGACTGAAAACAGATTTCTCTAGAGGGAAGAACAACGCCTTTAGACATCAAGAAGTGGTGCATTGCACCAAATTATTTGCAACGAGGTGTGTAGATCTTACATGTATTAGGACAGTGATATATTTGATAGCACTGTTCTATATATCTTCCTCCCCTCCCCCCTTGGGCTAGAGTCTGTTGTTTTACATTTTATCCGGGATTATTGTTGTTATTTGAAGTCCGATAATTTCAAGCAGATTTAATAAAATAAATAAGCCACAGAATTTACTTCTGCAAGCATTTTTCTAACCAAAAAAGTGTGTGTGTGTGTGTGTGTGTGTGTGTGTGTGTGTGTGTTTTACCTGAAGTCTTCCTATAGCCACCAGGCAATATTTGCTGCCTTGTCCCACCTCGGCATCTTCTTCCGGTATGGTCATTCCTAAAATTATTTTCCCAAAACAACAGTTTATTAAAAAAAAAAGAAGAAGAAGAAAGTTAGAAGCATCCGAAAGACGAGAAAGTTCTCTTTAGCTACTCAGCCCCTAGGAAGATAAGATGGCACTATTTGAGCTAATTTTCTGGTACCAGTAGAAACGTATTGAAGCTGTCCCGCTGTTAATAATTTTCAGTACAGAGATCGAAAAATATATATTTCTGCTCTTTTTGGTCCTGACATACTTTGGTTCTGTAACCCATTTCTTCGTAATTTGTTTTTCACGGTTTGTTTTTGTATATACTGCCTTGCTGGCCCATTGCTAAACCAAGTAAATGTTTACAGGCAGTCCTCTAAATGCAAAATAAAAATAAAAATAGAAAAGCGATAGGATCATCCAGATATTAGACTTGGCATCTCTGGGCAGTTGTTTTTACTGTAAATCACCAACATATTGTATGATGTTGAAAAGAAACAGCTGCCTGAAAAAAACAAGTGGGAGTTTCATTGCACTCTGTTTTCAACCTTTTAATGGAATTTAATGCTATAAACATGTTAAAAAACAAGGCATGTCAGGATGCTGTTTTTTTAGTGCCTTGGGGCTGCATAAATACCTTTGATTGGTACATCAGCGTAATCTCCCCCCTGGCCTTCCAAGTCTTTTAAGTAATCTGATTTCCCAAATTGAGTTTTGGAGCCAGAAGCTTCCTACAAATCTTTGAGTTAAGTTATTTAAAGCCTTATTCCCTTGAGTGTTTGGGATTCACATCATGCAGGAGCACTGAATCACCCGGGAGAAGAATTCTAGCCTATTAGTCAGGTGAAGGAGTAAAGAAGCTCAAGTTTCTACCAGATTGCAAGAACACAGGCGAGCAGTCAGACGAGGAGACCCAAACTCACTGGTAGCCTCACACTGCAATGAACAAGGATATGCATTCAATTTCGCAGGAACGAAGATTGTAGGCCGAGCAAGTACAAAAATAGCCAGAGAAATGATGGAAGCCTGGGAAACGGGCCCCTTGTCAGTCAATGGGAGAGCTGATTTACCACCAGCTTATCAGGTACTTAGAAGCCGAGGTCTTGGCAGCCCAAGGAAACAACAGCCAACGACTTAATAGCCAGCCACCAACAACCCAATCAACCAATAGGAAGGCACCACGTAAATTCTACGCATAGAATAGCCCAAAGCACATATTCTGGTAGAGAGAAGTTCCCTGACGATGGACTCCAGCACAAGTCGAAAAGCTCAGAAGACTAAACCTCTGGTTCTGGTGACCACTGAGATTGGATCTTGGAAGCAACAGAACTGAAAAGATCTCAACATTTTCTGTACGAATAACAATTCAGACCAGTGCTGTGTTGTACATGCGTTTGTTGTGTGAAGGTAGTCCTTGATTTACAACATTTGTTTAATGACCATTCAAAGCTACAACTGCGTTGAAAAAAACCTGACTTATGACCATTTTTCACACTTATGACCCTCATCCCCACAGTCACATGGTCTAACTTTGGGCGCTTGGCAACCAGCATGTATGTATGAGGGTTGCAGCGTCCTGGGTTCCTGCACTTGTCATAGGCAACCTTCCTAGAGAGCTCCTGAGAAGCAAAGTCAATAGGGGAAGCCAAATTTACTTGACAACCAGGTGATTCACTTAACTGTAGTGATTCGCTTAACAATCATGGCAAAAAAAGGTTGTAAAATGGGAAATGACTCACTGAACAATCACCCTGCATAGCAATGGAAATTTTGGACTCAGTTGTGGTTGTATATAAGAAAGATTTGACCCTTAGGTATTAAGACTGGCTTCTGAATAAGTAAGTAAATGGTCAGATTGTTAGCACCTATACCAGTGACTATCTACCATAATCACAAAACCATTACAGTTGTCAAAGTGTTGCACCCAAAATTAAACCAATGTCAAGGATGAAACTTTGGCAGTTACGTGTCTCTGCATTACAATTTGCCTTTAGATAAAGGGTCTGTGTGTTTGTGTGTATTACTCTCAAGTGGGTAGATGGAGAAGCAAAACTTATTCGATTCAGCTGCAGATCGTGGGAGCCTGAAGCCTTGTCAAGGACACCGGAACAGGTGTGGATTTAAAGGCAGACGGTTCCCATAACAAAGTGGACTTGTTGATATGGATTATGTAAAACATTGAGGGTTTGACTGGGAAAACTATTGTTTAAATCTATGAATTGGTGTGGGAAACTCAGAGTTAGTTTTGCTTTGACATAACCACACAATAATATTCAATAAAACATAAGATTTTCGGAAACGGAATTGTTGCTGAGTTTTGGGCTTTTATTACATTTATATTCCTAAAATGTAATTAGAGCCTCGGGAAAGCTTTTTAAAGCTGAAGATGCCTGCCAAAGGGTGGTAAAGCAACCTATATTCTGTGGTTAATTTGTTTCTTTAAATGGCATCTAGAAGGCCAGAAATAAAAATAAATTAATTAGATAAAGGAATGAGATGGCATGGATGACAAGGAAAGGGAAGAGAAGGGAAGGGAAGCGAAGGGAAAAAAGGGGAAAGGCAGAAAGGGGGAAAGGGGGAAAGAGAGGAAAGGGGGAAAGAGAGGAAGGGGAGGGAAGAAAGAAAGAAAGAAAGAAAGAAAGAAAGAAAGAAAGAAAGAAAG